CCCCCCCATGTCCTTGCTCCGCCCCATCTTTGCCCCGCCCCCGTGTCCTTGATCGGCCCCTCCTCACGCCTGCTTCCCCACCCAGTCCCGCGACCTGGAGGAGGTGATGATGGACGCGCTGGTGAACGACAGGCCGGAGTTCGTGCGCCTCTTCGTGGACAATGGCGCCGACGTGCCCGACTTCCTGACGTATGGCCGACTGCAGCAGCTCTACCGCGCTGTGTCCCCCAAGAGCCTGCTCTTCGACCTGCTGCAGCGCAAACACGAGGAGGGCCGCCTGACGCTGGCCGGCCTGGGCGCCCAGCAGGCCCGTGAGCCGCCCGCCACGCCGCCCGCCTTCTCCCTGCACGACGTCTCTCGCGTGCTCAAGGACTTCCTGCATGACGCCGGCCGCGGCCTGTACCAGGACGGCCGCCCGGGGGCCCGGGGGCAGGCGGTGAGGGGGCAGGGACAGGCGGTGAACGGGGCGGGGGTTGGGGACATGTGGTGAGAGGGCGGGGACAGGCGGTGAGGGCCTGGGTGCAGGCAGGGGCCCAGGCACGGAGGCCAGTGTCTGCACCCTCCAGGAGAAGGGTCTGACCACACGGCCCCCGGGGCACAAGTGGCCGCTCGACCTGAGCCAGAAGAGCGAGGCCCCTTGGCGGGACCTGTTCCTGTGGGCAGTGCTACAAAACCGCCACGAGATGGCCACCTACTTCTGGGCCATGGTGAGCACGGCCACGGCCCAGGGCACTGAGCAAGGCCTCCTCCAAGCATCAGGCTTCCCCAGGGAAGCACTCCCCCAGGGTTCCCGGGGAGGGGCCTGGGGGTGCCAGAGAGGAGCGCCCGCCTCAGACCCGGTCTCCCAGGGCCGGGAAGGTGTGGCCGCTGCGCTGGCCGCCTGCAAGATCCTCAAAGAGATGTCCCACCTGGAGACGGAGACTGAGGTGGCCCGCGTCATGCAGGAGGCCAAGTACGAGCAGCTGGCCCTGGGTGAGTGGGGAGGGGACGAAAAGTCACTGCCTGTTCCCACTCCTCTAAGCGGGGCCTCCTGTGTAAACCCGCTGAGGTGCTGCCAAGGACCAGCTGCAGGGAAACAAAGGCAGAGGGGGTCAGGGGTCAGGGCGGGGCCCAGGAGGTGGAGGCGGGTGGGGGCAGGCAGGCGGTGGGTCTGGTGCGCGCTGCCCAGGAGGTGGAGGCGGG